TTGGGTGGAAGTGGCTGTGTGAAGATTTGCCTGACAAGAGCCCAAACCACCATCCCATGCAGAGACAAATGCTCAGACCCAAAACCCAGTGATACATCTGCCTAGACCTCATGGTTCTGGGGAGGAGGGGGGCAGCTTCGGATTAAGAAGAAGGATGTGGGAAGTGACTTCTTAGATACAGAAAATCAGGATCTAGGTTTCTGTCCCCTACAGGAACCACGGCTCCTAAGAGGGACAGAATGAAGACCCAGCAAACAATGCAGTGCAATGTTTTGTGGATGGGGACTCCCCTAGCTATTGATGGAGAAACACAAATGCAGGGGATGCCTGAGCAGGATGTGCTCTCTGGTGATGGGCAGTGAAAAGGAAGAGGGAGCCCCTCCCATAATAGCATTCATGACCTCAATGTCCATAAGCTGGACCTTGGAGTAGGGAGAGGGATGGGGAGCGTGGGAATGAGCCCCTGATCTTCGCCAGACCCAGACCCAGGTACTTGCCAGCAGCTACATCTTTCATTATCACAGGAGAGGAAGGCCACACACCCCAGAGTTGTTGAAATGTATGCCTGAGAGAATGCACCCAGAGAGTCCTTAGCAAGCGTCTGCTGAATGTTAGGTGTTATTATTATTGTCATTATTGTTTTATTTCATATCTCTCAAGTCTCAACTCAAATATGACTTCTTCAGGGAAGCCTTTCCTTAACCCCCAAACTAGGTTAGACTCCCTTTCCATAATCTCACAGCATCCCATAATTCTCACGATTGTAATTAAACAATATGTGCGTCGAGTGTCCTGCCCACAAGAGTGGGAACGATGTCTGTCTTGCTTGGTGTCCTTAGAGCCTAGGCAATGCCTGGCATGCACAAGGTGTTCATGCGAGAGTGCTGAGCAAATGAGTCACAGGTGAAGCAGAGGCTGCAGAAAGCATTGAGTGCCACACCAGTATCTTATAGAAACTGACACCCAGAAGGGCCCCCAGACTTAGCCCAGGTCGCAAAGCTAGGAGTGGAGGAGTCAGGCAGAAACAAGGCCCCCTGACCCCTTGCGAGGCAGAAGCCTGGAAGCCACCTCCAGCCCTCACACCCCAGCCCTGCCCCCCATGAGGAAACCACACAGCTCATTTGCCTAGGTCAACAACAGCAACAAGAAGGCTCCAGAGGACACGAAAATGAAAAGCACACCACTCCCTCCTGCCCCCACCCCCTGCCCCCACCCCGTCCTGTGTTCAGGCAGTATCTACTGCTGGTGTGCCTATGAGATCCTGGGGAGCTTCATGGTGACAGCTTGATGCCCTGGGGAGCATCAGGTAGCTCTGGTGAGCAGGCCATAGATGTGCCAAGTCAGACCTTGTAGGCCAGGGTGGTCAGTGCCATGGTGGGAGGACACAGAGGGCACAATGAGGACAGGAGGGGGGGTGGGTAGTGCTGTGGGGTGAAGAGGGGGGTTGGGGAAGAATGCTAGAAGATGAGGCTTGAGCCAGGCATTGGAGGAGGAATTTGCAGTTCACAGGCAGGTGGAGGAGGGGAAGGGCAATCTGGAGAGATGGAACAGCACATGCAAAGGCACAGAGGTCTGCCTGAGCTTCAGGAGATGAATCAGGAGGGGTGAACCTGTGCTAGGTGGTGGGACATCATGCTAGCCAGTTTAAGGGGTGTGAGCTTTCTCTCGAAGGCAATGGCAGCTTTGCAGGGTTTGCAGCTGAAAAGCGACTTGCTCAGATTTGTTATCTCACATCACCACGGACAGACACAGGAGAGAGTCTGGAGGATGGAGGCAGGGTCTCCCATTAATGCCAAACTCTAAAGCCCAAAGTCTAGCACCTCCATTGGTAGGCTCAGTCGACTCAAGAAGGACCCAGTATCTGCTCTGTGCCATGAAAGTCACCCACTTCTTCCCATTCATCTGTCCCCACCCCCCCATGGGTGTACCTTGCTACAGCTATGTCTCACTTATCCAGAAACCACTTAACTGATAACCTCAACTATCCAGAACCTAGCTGCTAGCCTCGAAGCAAGCAAATCAACAAACAAAAACACCTGTGGATGACCATAATTTACGCCCCAAATGTCGTGCCCTTCAGGGCATGCACTTGACTCCCATAAGAACATGCAGGCTGCCACGCAGTCTTGGTCACCTCTGGTCAAGAGCAGAGGCCAGAGTCAGCCAAGCTCTGGCACTTTCTAGCCACGTGGACTTGGCCCTTAGTTTCCTCATATGTAAAATGGGAGCAATAGTTGTAGCCACCTCAGAGTGTGGCCATGAAGATTAAAGGCCATGAGGTTCTTAGCACACACTCAATACTGTGAAATCACAGGCAAAGAGCAAAAGGAAGGACAAAACAGAATGGGCTGCAAATACGTCCTGAGGGGACCCAGGGTACAAGAGACAATGGCAGGCTAGAAACATTTGATAAAATTTTCAAGAAATCATTAAATCATATCCAATGTGCTATATTTATAAAGGCAAGCAACATATTTTACAAAAATTTCCTTTAAGTCTAGATATAATGAAAAGTTGTGGTGATTAGAAGGTAGAGCTGCTAGAGAAGGTAATGTATGCAAATTACGAGAATGACATAATTCTGTGTGTAGCTGTGTACCTCTAAAGATACCCCAAGTCCGTAAAACACACATTGTATTTAACAGAATCTAAGATGCCCTCAATTCTACAAGGCACTGTTATTTCGTGTGCCACTAAGGAAGAAATACTGCTGCCTATTCTAATGTTAAGATGCCATAATGGCAAGATGTACCTTGATTTCAGCATCGCTAAAATGTGAAAATACATACATCTTCCAATTAGTGAAATATCTTAAGGTATAATATGTGTTTGCTTTGGGAGTGTATTGTCTTCCCTTTGGGCAGAAGTCAGAAGTAGTCTTTCCTTTGCCTCGACCCCCACCTATGCCAGAGGCTCAAAAATCAAACTAAACACCTCTCCCTTGACCTGCTGGTGATCACTTTATCTTGCCCCTCAAGAAGATTCCTCTCTTAATAAATCGATTTACACTTTCAGCCCATCAGCTGAGGCCAAAAATGTCTTCTGGCTCACCAGGGTCCTGTGGGGTCAGCCAGCTCAGCCCCTTGGGGTGAGCCTCTTCCAACAAAGGCCGAGTCAGCACAGCTTGATTGCTCAGCTGAACCTAAGCTGGGGCTTCCAAACTCTAGGCTGCCCACGGTAGAGGCTACTGGCTCTCCTCTCACTTCTCAGCCAGTGGCCCCCCAGTCAATGACACCTGGGATTGCAGAGCAGCCTCCAGCAGCCAGCCTCCTCCACAGCCTCGACCCTTGACTTTGCATCCTGCCACCAGCGACCCCAAACACGCTTGTCACCCAGTGCCACCAGTTAGCTTCCCCTCTATTATTCTTGAAAGAAACAAAAAGCAGTAAGTGGGAGAGAGGAAAGGGAAACAGGGAGGCAGAGGTGGTCTGCTTCCACTGCTCCTAGGGGAGTGAGAGTCATCTGTCATCCCCCCACCTAAGCTGGAGGTAAGATGCGGGGGGGTTCTTCAAACCCCAATGAGGCCCAGCACACAAAGGCCCCGGGCCTTCCCACCCCCACAGTCCTGAATAGTTATGCTTAAAAAAAGCAGGGGAGGGTACACCTAAGCAGAAAGAGAGAGTTTGACCATCCAAAACTGCCTTCTTTGTCTTCCACAGGCCCCTCAGTAAAGATCCACACCACTGAGGCCATGCTGAGGAAACCAGGAAGCTTGTGACAACCTGTCTCTCATTCCACAAACGTCCATGGAGCATCTCCTGTGTGCAGCGGCTCTCACCGCACTTGCCTCCTTCATCTTCCGTACAGGCCTGTAGGTCAGTGTTGGAGCCCATTTTACAGATAAGAAGACTGAGGTCAGGAGAGGGGCAGTAAGATGCCAAAAGTCACACATTACACATGGTTCCCAAGCAATGGCTCCAGCGTCATCAATTAAAGAGCTTATTAACAGTTTCCAAATATACAGACTCCACCCCTGGAGGTTGCGCGTCAGGGCTGGGGTCTGGAGAATCTGGGTTTTAACAAACACTCCAGGAGAGCCCCAAGTGTGGTCAGCTCTGGGAACCAGTGCCCTACCAGGTGGCCCGAGGGCAGGAGAAAGGAAAGTGTGGATGAGAAGATACAGCAGCCTGTGGGATGGAGCAGAGCGATCCAGAAGGGGCCTTGGAGGCAGACTTGGCCTACTTTTAGCCCTCATTTTGCCTAAACCCACCCCTCCTCTCTGCACCGAGGCTTGTTAATTCACTTTATACCACATCCTGCTGCTTTCATCTCGCCTTCCTTTTCCCTCTGAACAATCTCCTTCCTCCTACTGACCTGAACTTCTTGTGTATTTACCCCAGGCCTGGGATGGGCCAGCACGCAAGAGCTTGTGCGCGCGCGCGCACACACAGACACACACAGACACACACACACACACACACACACACACAGTCACGCGGGGCACCCAGTGTGTAAACACGGATCCTCCGACAGCACAAAGCGAGCTATTCTCTAGAACAGCAGCCCCTGTCTGGGGCCCACGCTCACTAGCAGGGTGCAGGCTGAGGCTCGACGGAGGGTGCCTTAGACGGCATTCCCACCACTCCCAGGTCCTGATGGCAAAGGACCCCTGATGCCAACGCTCACCGGGAGAGTTCCCAGCGGGAGGGGACAGGCTCCTCGATCCCACGACACAGGGCGGCCTGTGACGGAGGCAGGAGGCTGCGGACACCCTCGGCCGCATAGAGGCCTCCAGCAGTGGCTACCTAGATAACGATGGCCAGTCCCCGGGACGCCCCTTCTGTCTCCGGGATTATCTGGAACGCGGGTTTGCGGACCCGGTGCCTCCGCGCGGTGGACCCTATGCATGGAGCGGGAAGACAGCAGGATCTGTCCAGCCTACCCGCTGCAGCCGCTGCTCTCGGAGCGCACCGCTCCCCGACGGTCCCCAGCCTGCTCCGGCTCTGCCTTGAGCTCCCCCTCGTCCCCTCCGCGCCCGCCCCGGCCGCCCAGCCACACACCTGCAGTCCCCGCCGGGCGCCGAGCCCCTCTTCAGCGGCGACCCCCTGCAATCCGGGTGACGGTCGGGACCACCGCGCCCGGGCTGGAGCCGCGCGGCACGTCCCAGCATCTGCTCGGGTTCGGCTCCCCGGGCGGGCTGGGGGCGGGGCCACCGGGGGCGGGGCCTACTCCAGGGAGGGGCTGGGCGC